AGTGCCCCCATTTCTGTCAGTGGCAACACTATTTACCTAGTTACCCAAGCAAGAATTAAAGGGCGGGACTGCTTCTAGCCTACGTACTGCCTTTGTAGAAATCAGAAAAAGGCACTCCCTGCAAGTTCATGTAGCCCCATGCCAGGGGACAGGACTTTGTTGGCTAGGTGTGTGCTGGATTTCAGCTCCCATATGCACTTGTCAGCCAGGCACTCTTATGCAGTGAACATCCTTCACAACTGTATGTGGCAGCCCTGACTTGATCTTCCCCGTTTTCTCTTTTCCCCAAACTCAATTAATTCACAAATACTGCCAAGTCTATCTCCAAAATATAAGTTGAAACCACTCTCTTCCCCACCTCTCCTCTCCTTCCACCTCAGTCCCAGCCACCATCATCTCCCACCCTGACCACTGTACCACACACTCCTAGCTGGTCGCTCTGTTTCTACTCTTGCTCTCCTCCAATTCATTCTCTACATAGCAGGTGAAGTGATAATCGTAAAACATAAATCCAATAACATCTATCTCCTGCTTAAATTCTTCATGATCTGACCCTGTCTATGTTTCCAGCCTCATCGTGTGCCACTCATCTCTTTGCCCACTGTGCTCTAGCCATGCTAATCTTATTTCAGTTTAATTGATTTGCCCAAGATCTTTCCTGCCTTGGGCTTTTGCACATGCTGGTCCCTCTTTTTGGAATAGTAAGAATAACTAGTGTTTATTTTGCTCTTGCTATGTGGCACTGTTCTAAGTACCCACTCCCCCAACATATGCACACATTTTATCCTCACAACAGTAGTATGGACTAGGTACTATTGTGCTCTACATTTTACATATGAGGAAACAAAGATACAGAGAGGTTAAGTAAATTGCCCAAAGTCCCACAGCTTGTAATAGTGAAACCAGGTTGAGCTTCTCCACACTCTGAATAGCAGCCTCCTCTCATCCACTAGATCTCAGCATATTAGTCCCATCCTTGGGAGGCCTTCCCTGGCCACTGTATCTAAGGCAGGTCTCACTATTGGTCACCATCTCAGCTCCTAATCTGTGTGCTTCATAGCGCATACTACGACTTACTGTTATTATTTTTATCTTTTTTTCCCCTGTCTCTCTCACTAGAATGTATGCTCCACAAGGACAGGAACTTATTACATGAGCATCAACATGCAAAATGCTTTAAAATACAAAATGATGAAAGAAAAAAACACTTTCAACATCTAGCACCTGGCTTTGCACACAGTAACCACTCATTGTTACTGAATGAATAAGAATAATGTCCCTTTCCTATTCAGATACTTACCTGTAGAAAAGTAAGTCTTTTACAATTTAAAGCAAAATGAAAAAGAACTACTGAAATTACACCTCAATCAATTTAGGTTTTACCAAAAAATCCTACCTATGCTCAACTTACTATAAAGATCATATAACCAGACAGACAGAAAGGAATATGTTTAGCTGTGAATTAAAGATAAGCTAATAAAGCCCTCTTTTCAAAACAACTCACTGTTGAGATCTTTCCTGATTCTGGGCTTCATTCAATGACTTTAGCAGTAATTACTGTTTCAATTGGAGATTTAGTTAGGAAATAAATTTCTAGTATTTTCTTTTTGGTCGAATGACTTTATTCTAATGCTTAGCCAGGTTTCTTATCAAAAGTGGCAGAAACTAATTGGCTAATTGAAGCAAAGAGAATTTATTGAGAGGACATCAGGCTCACAGAACCAACGGGAGCCTGGAGCATGGAAGGCTTGAAAATAGACAGGAACCAAAGGTCACTATAGTCAAAAAGCCAGAAGCAGCCCCACAGTTACTGCTTCATCACTGGATTGCCTGATCAGGCTGCCACCACAGTAGTGCCACTGTCCCCTGTCCTTGCATGGCTCATGAATCACAAAATCCCATGAGAAAGCATCTGATTAACCTAGCTCATGTGCTACACTGCCCAAGTCTTGACTCTCACATTTCACTATGCACAGTTAATTCCCCAGAAGGAAACTGGCAATATGAATGCTGGGAAGCCAAAAAAAAAAAGAATGTCTTTTACAGTTACATAGGGAAAAGCAGAAATTTATGTTTTCACATTTTCTTATTTTGGGATTTTATAATTTTGTTAAAGGCATAGATTTTACCCAAACATAGAGATCAGAACATTAGAAGGGACTTTACTCTTCTTCTAGCCAAACACTCTTATTTTGACATAGGCATTAAACAAGAAAAGAAAGGACATATTCTCACGGAAGAGTGAAACATATGATGAACATTTGTGAATAAGTCACGTGTGACACGGGTTTGTCAGAATCAAAAGCCAAGAATGCATCCACAATCTTGGCAGAAGTAGAGAGGGACGTTTCATTCAGGTCATGATCCAACCATCTTTTCAACTACCTATTGTCCTCTTCATATGGTTTTCCATCTCCATGAGTTTAATTTTGGACATACTATATTTGAACTCAAGCTCAACATATCCAAAACCAAACTCATCTCTTCCACGCTTGCTACTTTCCCTTTTTTCCCCAATTATGATAAATGCACCACTATTCAATCTAGCCACCCAAGCCAGAAACCCAGGACTCATATATGACTATCCTATACTTCACTTCACACTTGAAGTCGTATCACCAAACTGTCAATTCTTCCTTCAAATTGCTTTTCAAATGTATGCCTTTCTTTCCATTTCCCCTTGCCAGTGTCTTGGTTCAAATTCTTGACATCTGTATTTCTCACCATCAAATTTATGTTCCAGTTATGCTTAATTTTTGTAGGTGCCATAGGCTATCAAGTTTAGGCCACCGACTACAATTCCAGCCATATATCCTACCACTTCTTCCCATCTTACCTCAACTACCTGAATTCTGACTGTATCCTGCTTTTCATGTACCTCAGATTTTAATATGCTGATTTTTAATTGGTTAATCTTTCCACTTGCTTTGATCACTCTTGCCCTCCTAGTTTGCTTGCTAAACTTCTACTCCAGCCTTGCAGAATCTGTTTCATTGAATTTTTCCTGAAGACCTACCTATCCCAACCATCCCCATCCCCAAGTAGACTCAGGCATTTCCTCTGAGCTCCCATAGCACTTGTCCATACTTCCCTAGGCTGTTTACCTACTCTCGTTATTCGTTCATGTCTGTTTTTCCTTTTGGACTAGGAGCTCCTTGAGTGCAGGGACTGGGGTTCATTCACAGTTGTGTTTTCTCACCTACTGCATTCATTTAGTGCCTGGTACGCTATAGGCCACAAAACATGTTTGTTTAATAAACAAATGAAGCATATTTCACTGAATGAAACCCACAGATGAAGATGAGACTGTACGAAACTCCAGAGAGCAAGCTGAGAGAGTGTCTATGCATCCTAACGCTGTCATGTCTGTTACCCCAGCCACGTGGCTGCACCCAAAGGGGAGGAACTGCAGGAAAGCAGCCCTCATCACATCCGAAGTTCTGGGCCTTCTTCTCTCTTGCTTTCCCCAATTTTTCTTATCTTATTGCATTTACCTAGAATACAAACTGCCTTCAGCTCCCATTTCTAGCCTAGGATTGCCTCAAAGACCTAACACTGGTTTTGGTCCATTCAGTTGTGAATCTCAGCGTTCCTCCTTACACGATGTTATTCTTTCTTCTCCCTGCTATTCCAAGTGACTACATCCCTGCATCAGCCTTTGACCCCTGGACCATGCCTCAATGTTGGCTTTCATGGTTCACATTTCTTTTGGGGTCAGGCCTAAAGACAGAAGGGGATATTTTAGGCAATGCCAAAATGAATATCAGCCTAATTTCAAGAAAAAAAATGAAAAGTAGAGTCATAGGAGAGAGTCCATAGTACAACCCTGACAATTTTATCTGCAAACGTCTCTTTGTTTTAAAGCTGCTTTTCGTAGCCTTGTGTATATGTAACACGTGTGCACACATGCATGCATTCTTCCATTTATGTATTCCTTTGGGCACTTATTGAGCTCAATCACTATGCTAGGCTCTGGGATAAAAAGATTTTAGAACAAAGACAATTTCCTTGCTCTTCAGATTGCTCATAATCTGGGAAGGAGAGATAGTTCCATGAGTGATAATTATAAAATAATATAATAACTGTGTCAGTAGAAATATTCACATGTTCGATAGTAACAGAGGAGAGAGTAGTGCAGTCTTAAAGGTGACATCTAGTGCCTGACAAAAGCCAAAAATGGTAAATATTTTATGCAAGGCTTTTCATAACCTGCCCCACTCTTATCTTTTCCAACCTTATTTCTTTATACACTCTAAACTCCAACCATGTGTGAGACTACCACAGAAGATGTGCACTGGGAATTTTCGGCAGTTTTTGTTTTAGGGGGACATTTTCTTATAGTTAAATGCACACCAAAAGAGCTATGGCAACAGCTCGTGCTTTCTATAAAATCTTGTAATTCACAGTTGTGAAGTAGGATTGATTTATTTAGGGGAGGAAATTTGATAGAATAACTTTGTGTTAAAAATAGTTAGTGTTCTACCAGCACTGTGTATAATTCCAAGTGGTAAATAGTCTAAATTTAGTTTTAAGATAATCTTAAAATCATATATGGTTAGATTTAGAACGAATCTTTTGCTTTCCTGATCTACCATCTCCCCTAGGAGGAACCCATTTAGGTTTCCCCCTTTTTAGGCTATCAACATTTAAAATGTAAAATTAACATGCATTTCCTAACCATATGACAATGTTGCTAGGTGTCTGGTGGATGATAAGGAAGGAAACTGTCTAGAGACTAAAATTTGTCTTGCATAATCCCCAAATGAATAACCAAATAGATGTTTAAACGGCTGTTTTCATTGTTCTCATGCATGTGTACTCAAGATGTGAACAACTTGCAGAAAAATAGCCAAACTCCTATACCAAAGAGGTTTGCAGTACATGCAGTAGCCTTGTTGACACATAGTATTTTAGAACCGACCTTTGGGTGGAGTTACATTACTGCCAACGGATTTACTTGTGGTTTATTCTAACACTTGCTGTCACTTTGAACAATTAAGGTGTTTGATCCAATGTTAGAAGACTGCATTTGATGAGAACCAAGACAACATCTACTCTAGCTGTCTGGGCAGCAGTGTGCGTCACACCACAGACAGCCCGCCCAGCCACTTGTTTCCGGTTCCTGTTTTTGTCTGAAAATGGCACTTGGGAATTAAAAGTTAGTTCTAGAAGACCCCAAATGTGCTTCTTTATAACCAGATGTAAAGGTAAACAAAAGCATACTTGGTTTTGAAATCAAATACAAAAGTGTATACAGTATTAATTCCTTTAAAAAAGAAATCTCAATATATCTGATGAAATAGCACTGTTGCTCTCTCTCCCTTTTGTGTTGTCAGCGTTTATCAGAACACTGCTCTCCAGCCTTAGATTACAAGTGTGCTCTAGTTTCCCTTTGCCTGAAACACTTGCCTTGGTAACTAACTGCACTGCTCCCTCTATGTCCTTATTTTAGTCTCATGCTTCACCAGATGCAATCTGACCCTGCTCTCGAGAAACTGCTTAACCAAGATTTGCCAGTCTCCCTACCCCGTTAGCCACTTTCAGGTCACCATTCTATCCACCTTTTTTTCAAGTCTTCAACACCTACTACCTAAGTACTCTTCTCTTGACTGTTACCCCTTAGATATCTTTCAGGCCTCTTTTTCCCCCTCTCTGACTCTTAAATTATATTTGTGCTTAGAGCATTTCTTAGGTTCCTTGCTTTGGCTCTTCCTTCCTCCCTCTATACTCTCACTCGACAATCTTATCTTTTTCCACAGCTTTTTTTGCCTTAACCCTAAAAAGAACTTAAAAAAACAAAATTAATGAATGTGCATTGTAACAATACAAAGAATACAGTGGACTATCCAGTAAAAGATTAGCTGTCTTCCCCGCCTCCCATACATTTTTTCTGTATATGTATATGTGTGTTTGTATTTACATATATATATAATATATTCATACATATATATATTTACATATATATTTTGTTACAAAAGTTGGATCACGTTAAATATTGTTCTATAACTTGTATTTTTTTATTTATAACAAATCATGAATATCTTTCCTAATGGATGCGTGTGGAGCTATCAAATCCTTTAAAAGGCTGCATAATGTTCCATACTTCTCAACTCCTTATGGACATCTGCACATGGTTATCCCACCAGCTAATCAAACTCAACAAACAAAAGCCCAAAATTATAATTGTCATTCTAAACTGTTGCCTATCTCTAAACTGTATTCCATATCTTGGCTAATAGTGTCACCATCCTTTCACATGTGTAATTTGAATACTAGTGCTAACATTTCCCCTAAGTCATAGACAAAAATTTCACTATTAGAAACGTTCCTGTGAGTGTGCCACAGATATTTCAGGCTCTGCGTTTCCCAAATTGAATCTTCGTTTGATGGCACCACTCTCAACCTAGTAATTCAAGCTAAAAAGCTGGATGTCAGCTATTTCACATCCTATATCACTGAGTTCGTTCAATTTTGTCACCTAAATGCCTCTTGATTTTATTCTCTCTCTTCTTTCTCTGTAATCACTGTCTTAAAGTAGGTTTTCGTTATCTTTCATCTGACCTGTTGTAACAGTCTCTTGACCTTTACCATCCTCTCCTCACTCCCCTCTTCTTCCGCTCTGACCCATCCATTTGCCAAGCTTTCATCAACATGCTTCTCATCTGCCCTTTTCTAAAGGTAGATCTACTGGCTGCTGGCAGCTTAAAGACTTTTGCTGATGACCATTCATGCTCAGAATAAAGTTCATGCTCCTTAGCTTGCAATGCAAGGACTTGATCCCCTACCCGGTTCTCCAATCTCATTTCCCGTTAGTTCCCAGTTTCCTCTTGCAATTTATGCTTTTGCAATGCCAAAATACTTATACACACACACAGATGCACACACACAGACACAAACATACAGACACACACACACACACACACTCACGAGAGAAGTTTTTTGAGACCTCCACATACATACAAATGTTAATTCCTCTGTGTGAGATGGCCTCCTGCACCTCCTTACCTTGAAAACTTCTAGTTATTCTTCTAAGTTCTACTCAACCATCATTTCCTCAATGGAGTCTTCCCTCGTTCTCCCCAGACAAAATAAATTCCTTCTTTCTTTCCTATTTGTGAACTTTGTATAGATATTATTGCACATATATGCGATATTATTGCATATTATTTTATTTATTTATATTATTATTTATCTATTTACTTAACTGTCACGCCTAGTTCTTTAACAGCAAGGCCCAGATAATAACTCATATTTGTATGTTTAACATCTACCACACTTCTGGCACATAGTAAGTGCTCAGTAAATTTTTATCAGGGTAAACTGAGCAATGATTTTATTCCTTTGTCTCCCTCAGCATCTGCATCCAAATGGTTCACATCTCTTTACAATACCACCCCCTTAATTATACCATCTCTCTTTCATTTCTTTTCATTCCCACCACCATAGTACAAGAACTCATTCCCTTTCATCCATGCATTCAGCGGACTTGTTAAATATGTGTGGCTTGGGGATTATAAAGTTGTGGAAAACATGATGTCTGGCCTGGAGGAGCCCATGACTCGCTGCGGGGACAGACAGACAAACAGAACAATCACTGAAGGAACTTCACCACTGGTTTTGTGGCCCATAATTTTTTCCTAATCTTGTATCCCCTTCACAGTACTCTCAGAGTACTCCTCATAGCTTTGATCATATTACTTTTTTGCTCAAAAACCTGTAGCAAGAGTTACCGTTTAGACTGGCATTCAGGACTCTATGCATTTTACATCCTGCTCCACCTCTCTCATTTCCTCCACCACTTCCTGATCCCGTGCACTCGTCAAAGATTAATACAAATGATATCTATTCCATGAAGTCTTCCAGGATCCTTCTAGGAATAATCAGCATGCCACTTCTTTTTTTGTTGCAACGTTAATATGCATCCTTCTTTGTGTTAGAATTATTTATGTATACATCTATTCCATTATTAGAGTGGGGCAGCAACAAGATTTGGGAGGTTTTTTTCTTTTTTGGCCTCACAAAATCAATACTAACAGAAATATAGTGAGCTTTTGAATTTGAAGCTTATTTCTTATTCCATTTGAAGATTATTCACTCTTCCCATTTACATAGTTCTCAGTGATATTTCTGTCTATTAGTTTATAGAATCAAATACCACGATGGTAAAAATTATATCTTATAAAGAATATGATTATTTTATAAAATAACTTCACACCCAATTTAACTAATTCTCTAGAAAGGATATTATTGCCTAGAGCCATGGTGAAATTACATAGCAGCAAACCTTCGTTAATGGAGAATAATTATTGTAGTGTGGTAATCTCAAATGCAAAATAGTATTACAATAAAGTATATGTATCACACTTGCCAACATGAATTAATATTGCTTACTCTTTTGATTAAAAGATCAAAGATTTTTTAATCATGTCTTTGCACATTTTGCCTGTAATCTGCTGAATCCAGTAATAAGTGATAACAAACCTATCGTTTATGTAAATGTTCAGAAGCTTGACAGTAATGAAGCTTGGATTAGCTCTTACGGAGGAAGGAGGAGAGCAAATATAGAATCTTCTCACATGCATGCAGGGAAGGATAATTCTTTTTTTTCCAGTTGAGAGCCCTTTACTGATGCAAAAGTGATTTATGTTGCTTTTAGATCTTTATTTGATACATTGGCCTGGAGGACAGATTACTGGAAAGAGTTACTGTGCAGCTCAAGTAGAAACATGGAGAGCTATGGCAGAATTGTCTGATAGAGATGAGTTTTCTGTGCTTATTACGATTAAAATTAAATATTATTCATCCAGATACACTACATTTCCTACTATTAGAAATTAAATTTTCTTTCAAGACACGTATTTTATTGAAGGCTCCTTCTACTTCTATTTTATTGAGAGGGAATTTGGCTGTTGTAGGGAAAAGAACATGGACTTTAGAATCCGATTATCCTCAACTTTAATTCTGGTTCTGCCACTTAATAACATTGCAACTTTGGGCAAGGGATTCATATTCTCTTAACTTCAGCTTCCTCATTTATAAAGCCTTAAAGGATTGTTGTGAGGATTAAATTAGATAAAATATGTAAAGCATCTGGCACAACACTTTTGCACATAAGAGCCCATCATTAAGTGGCAATCACTGGTATCATCAATATCATCATAATCCTCATCATTGGACTGTGTTCCTTAGACTTTATCTTTTTGTTATTGTGAACCAGGGAATGGAAAAACCTAGATTATAATCTGAATTTTTATGTCTGGCTTCGCCTGTGTAATCAACCTTTTAGTGCTTTGTAATTTGCTACTCTACCGCTTATCTATCTCGTGTAAGATTGTCATGATTATGTAGATAACAACATTCCTAAGGTCATTTTAGTTATCTTTCAGGTTATAAATGTAGTTTATGCAGTGTAGAGTATAGTGGTACGTGAAGCATGAAGTCCAAGCACCCTTTCCTGCCCATCTGTAATCCCACTCCTCAGACAGAATTACTTCTTTCACATCTTTTCAAACCACATCTGTGCACACATAAATATTTTTAACCCAAATGAGATCATCATATATTATATATTTCTGAAACCTGCTCTTATTTCCCCCATCCAAAATATGTTCTGGATATTTTACCAGCTTGATGTTTATATCTCTACTCTATCCTCTTTTAAAAAAACTTATTTGAAAATAATTTCAAATTTACAGAAAAGTTGCAAGAATAAAACATAATACAAAGAGCATTCATATACTCTTTACCAAGACTCATCTATTGTTAACACTTTACCCCATGTGCTTTGTTGTTCTCTCTCTCTCTATTATAAACATATAAGTTTTGAGAGTAAGTTACCTTGTGACCCTTTACTCTTGTTATTGAATGTGTATTTTCTGAAGAATAAGTATACGCTCTTGCGTGAACACAATACGGGTATCCACTACAGTAAATTTAACTTTGATACAATATTTTAATTTACCATTTGTATTCTAATTTTGTCAATTGGTCCAGTAATTTTTTTATAGACTTTTTTCTCTGCAGAACAGAATCCAGTCTAGGGTCAGGAGTTGTGTTTAATTGTCATGTTTCTTTAGCCTCCTTTAACATGGAACTTTTCTATAGCTTTTTTGTGTCTTTTATGACATTGATATTTTTAAAAAATACAGCTTCCCTCCCCCTTTACATAGAATG